TGTACATGTTAGCTTTTAGGAGTTCAGGGCTACCACAGATTCTACATTATAATAAATCATATGATTATTTCAATATATATTATAGGGTTACAATAGCAGAAATAAAGTGCAGAATCCATCTAATGCACTTGAATCATGCCACCCACCTCTGTCCCTTGTATATGGAAAAATTGTCTTCCACAAAAGTAGTCGCTGGTGTCAAAAAATGTTGGGAACTACTGTCCTAAATAACTTCTTTGAGGAGAAACTCTTTTATATGTCTGTTGATATCTCCACATCTTACAGAAAAGTACTGATGAAGATTTTTTCTATACTATTATTGTTTCAAGGATATTTACATGGGAAACAACCTCAGAAAATAAACAGTTCCTCTCCTCTTAAGCAAAGAGAGAGTAGACATACTGCCTATTGTAAAATATTTGGGTTTCCTAATCTCAGGCCTTCTCTCCTGTAGTGCAGCCTACTGCATGTATGGAGGCTTCTGGGCCCACTCAACTCCCCTTCAGTGTGATTGGCAGGCAGAAAGAAGTAATGCTAGCCCTGCTTCTTAAGATCAAATTCCGTCTTCAACCCAGGAGACTTTGTTTTCTCTTAGCATTAATGAAAATGTGGCAAGTGGCATAAAGACTCTGACTATTAGCTGTGATATGTGAGCTTAACTGGAGTAAGAAACACCTAGCAGGTTAGCAAAGCACAGTTCTGGGTGTGTCTATGGGTGGTTGGCATTTAGATCAACAAGTTGAGGGGTGAAGTCCCACCCTGGTCATGCATGGTACAAACCAATAGCCTACAAACAACAACAACAACAACAAACCAACAGCCTAGATGAAATAAAAAAGAAAAAGAAGTGTGTACATTTTGCAAAGGTCCAGCCTTCTAAAGTAGGTGCAGCCTTTGCTGCTGTCCCTGTCAGACATCAGTCTCTAGACCTCCAGTTTCTTCAGCCTTCCAATGCAGGCTCACCACAGCAACCTCCAGTGAACTTCCAGGCCTTCAGCCTTGGACTGGGGTTGCACCCTTGATTCCTCTTATTCTTTGGCTACCGTCTTCTGGGGCTGAATAGTTGCTGAACGCTCCAGCTCTCCAGCATCTGGGATCCCAACGTTCATGGTGAACTCTCCTGCCTCTGCTCCTCTAAGCTTACCTAACATGTCCCTTTGCATAAGTACACATCTATTTTCTCTTGCTTCTGTTCCCCTAGAGAACCCCAACTAATATGGATGTGGGCATATACCTATTTTAGTCTGCTCTTTCATTACTGACACACTATACCTGACACCTCTGACTTAAAGGAGAGATTTAATTTGCTCTCAGTATTAGAATGTGATTGGCTCAAAGGCTTACACATCATGGCAGGAGGACATGGAGAGACAAAGCTATGAGTTCATGGTGGCTAAGAAGCAGGCCAGTGGAACAGTGCCAGAGAAGAAAGTCAAGGAACAAGACACAGGCCTCCCCGCAGCAGGCCATGGCTCCTGAAGCACACAGACACACCACCAGCGTTCTTGTGCAACCCCTGGGCAGACCCCAGAGCCAACCAAGTTGACACTGCACAAGAACCACCACACTCTCAGATCCTTCTTTTTAGTTCCATTCAGTCAAATCTTCTTTCAGCTCTTAAAATCTACTGTTTTACAGTTGGGGCTTATCATTTCCATGAGTGTATATTATACTAAGCTTAAATATATAGTTTTGTTTGCTAAGTTTATATAAATGAGATCATACCAGTATGTATCCTTCAATCACCTACTCTCTCCATCAGTGTATCTTGAAATTTATCCACATGGATCCATATTCCATTTCATCTACTTTTAACCACCATATAACATTTCATTGCATGAATAAATTGTATTCATTTATAACTTTGTCAGATTTTTTTCTCTCTGTTTCAAATTTTATTATTACAACCAAAGTTGCATGAATATATTTTTTTTATTTCTTGTACCTATTTAAGAATTCTTGTGTATAAAATTAGGAATGGAAACACTAAAGTGTAATGCAAATTCATCTTCAACTTTAGCAGATGTTTCCACCTTGCTCTCTGAAGTGGTTGTATCAATGACATTTGAGTTAAAAAAAATAACATTTGGGTTAGCAGGACACCAAGGTTCCTGTTTCTCTACATCCTTATAAATGTGGTAATGTCACTCTTTTGAGGACTTGTCTTTCTGATGAATGGACTGAATATCTTTTTACATGTTCTTTGACTATTTTCCTTGTCCTATTTATATCCTTAAGTTGTTTTTATATTGATTTATTATTTTAGTAAGCTTTTAGATTTTAAAAAAAAATACTTAAGATGCTGGTATTTTGTCTACTATAAATGTACAGATAAAAATAAGCTGTACTACTGTGTGGCTCATCTCCTGTCTTCATTCATAGTATTTATGTAGTGTCTTGGTTTCCTAGTGGCATACTAAGAGAAGGTCCACAGTGGTGTCAGTAGATACAAGGTTTCAAAATATTGATGACAGCATATTCTGACCAAGAATTCTGTAGGGACCAGGGCACAGGAAGCCCAAGGTCTGGCCACCGTTCTGTACCTGGGATCTCTGGGGAAGGTACGTGGTCTCTATGCTTCGGGCTTCTCACGCATAAATGGAGAGTTGGGAAGATGATATCCTTGAGCACCTTTCCAGATACTTTCTACTACAATGAGTGAAGGTCTTAAATACTAAGCAGAGAATGGCAGGGTCTGTGTGAAAGAACCCAACTTCATTAACCTCAAAAGTGACTGACGGCCCTCTGTGTTGCCTTGCCTGAGTCTTCCACAGGGTGCTTACTAAGTCTTTTGTGTGCACACCACATTTGCACGGGGAGCTGCCTGACACTCATCAGCCTGTGCTGTTATTGCCAGCTTTTCCATCTGTCTCTCTGACTAGATTACAATGATTCTGTAGGGAAGACTGCCTCTAGCATTTCCCTGCCCCTCTCCCAACTCCTGAGTCAAGCTTAATCCTCAGAGAATGTCTGAGGAGTGAGGATGAGATTATGGGGGGAAAGAGAAAAGGAAGGGAGGCGGAGGACCAAAGACCTAAATACGCACAGATAGACACCCAGTGAACACCACAGAGTTACTAAATCCTCTACACACTGGCCAAAAGGACCATCAGTAAATATTTCTGTAGCTGTTCTACAAGCAGAGTTTGCTTTTCAAGGCCAGACAGACAAATACTGGTGCGCTTAATAATGAAACTAATAACCTCTGAGTCTTAATCTGATGTTCCAACTAAGAGGCTGCAGTCTCAGTATTTTAGCAAAAATAAAATTGAGGTTGAATTAAACTCGTTTTCATCCCTTTTCTGCAACAGAGATTTTTACGTATAGCTTTCAACTTCTCCCCTATGACATGTTTTAAAAGATTAAAAAGGGAATCTCTAAGCTTTAAGACCTTTCATAATCATAATCTATATGAGATGAGAATACTTAAATAATTCTTTCTTAGCTATAATGCAATTCCCTGCTTGTAGCAGACATGGGGGAAACAAGATCCATGTAATGAATGTACTCCTGTTGTCATGACAACACAAAGAAGCAACAGGAGGAAACATTTAGCTCTCAAAAGTGGCCTGTTACAAAGTGTTGAGTCCATTAAACATGGTCATGATCCTATCCTTCATTTGGTTTCTCCTTTACACAGATTACCCCACTGCTGCAAATGTAATCCAATTTCTCAGCTGCACATTACCTTCTACAAAGGCAAAACAAATTTTAAAGCAGGCTCTTTGTGCTTCCCTAGGGGTAATACATTATCTGTTCATCTTGAAAAACTGCCCACTATCATGTCTCTCCGACTCCCTTTATTTTTCTGCAATTTATTTTACCAGTGCCTGTGAGTTTGTGTTTATTATGACTTGTAAGAGTATGATGATGTGATAAAAAAAAGTAAGTGGGTTATAAGAGCTGTACCAGGAATAAAATTGGGTTGTGGAAATGAACAGTGGAGTGGGGACAAAGGTGGCAGTGAGGCATCTGCTCTGCCAGCTCACTTTCAGCCCCAAGAAACACAGCCTCCAATGTGCTACAACACGAGCGTCATTAGGTTTTGGGTTTTTTTTTGTTTGTTTGTTTGGTGGAACCAGGGATTGAATTCAGGCCACTGTATTTGCCAGGTAAGTGCTTATTCTACTGAGCCATCTCCCTGACCCCATGAGTGTCGTCTGGATGTGCGGCTGATGCCCATGAGCAGTTGGCAAGGTGCTGACAAATGGGTTCTTCCACTGGCCCTTTTCTTTGGAATGGTTCTTCCCAAAGTGGAAGTCCCAGGGTACATCAGAGCTACCCAGCACACTTTGCAAAATGTAGTTTTGTGCTAAGTTCTACTCACCCGCTACATAGATAGTCTGGGAGTGCAGCTGAAGGATCTGAATTACTAATGTTTGTAAATCATCCTCGCCTTAGATCAAAGTGTGAAAAAGAAGAAACTGAGGGAGGATCCCTCCAATGCTCAGCCACGAGAAGGGCAGAGAGGGTTGTGTTAGGGAAGGTCTTGTAGGGTATTGGTGGGAAGATTGGTACTTTTTAAATATATTTGTATGTTTTATAGTTATATTCAAATAAGACGATACCATCTCTATCTATCTGTCTTTTTTTTTTTTTTTTTCCTCTGCTCTGGGATTTTTCTCAAAACCTTGTGCTGCCTACTCAATTCAAGCTGCTCAGCCAGCTATTAGAAGGCTCCTGATCTAAGACCAACTGGATCCAAACTTTAAACTTTTAAAATTCTGTTTCAGGTTCTTAAAATTTTCCAGGTAATTTCAATGTATACACAAGTCTAAAACCCACTTGAGTTATATGGCAAATGGGAAAATACAGCTAGGGCATTTGGATTATTTATTGTGGATAGCAAATGTCAGAAATTTAAGTTTTCCTGAACCTCAAATGTGTTGTGTGCCTATGTTGTGTGTCTGTATTGTATGCATGTGTGTGTGTGTGAACATGTGTGCATGGGTTTGTGTGCATGTGAGGTTTGCCTTACTTCCTTCTGCTCTGCCATTCAGGTGACTGCCGTGCGGGTGCATGTGAACACCTCCTCTGAGAACCTCGATTACCCGGTCCTGGTTGTGGTTCGCCAGCAGAAAGAGGTGCTGTCCTGGCAGGTTCCTCTGCTCTTCCAAGGGCTGTAAGTAATCTTTTCCCGAACAGCTTTACCGGTTTATATCTGTATTTCTTGAGATCCGAGACCAGCCAGGCATTGTGATACATGGCCGTAATTCTAGCAGTCTGGGAAGCTGATGTGGGAGGATTCCAAGTTCCAGTCTAGTCTAGGCAATTTAACAACTTAATGAGTCCCTCTCTCAAAATAAAAAAGAAAAAAGAGCCATGGAGAAAGCTCAGTGCACAGCCCTAGGTCCAATCCTCAGCTCTAAAAAGAAAAGTCTAAACTGTAATTTCATAATTGGTCTTTTTTGCCCCAGTGAAAGGAAAAATCAGCCATGAGAATATTGAGCTGTTATGCATGTTAGGTGCAGACAGTGTCTTGGTGCATACCCTGACCTATTCACCTCTGCTCAGTTTCCATCCTCTTTGAATTTTAGTGTTTACCAGTTTAAAATCTCCCATAAGACTGGGCATGGTGGTGTGCGCCTATGATCCCAGTGCTTGGGAGGAATGTAGAAGATCACTAGGAGTCCAATGTATGTAATTACATCCTGTAGACCCTGTACTAAATTAAAAAAAAAATCTCCTATAATGTTCGTACTTCACGGTTAGATAATGGATCATCCAGCAACCAAAAGGCTAGGTCCAGCAGTCAACCTAAGTGAACAACACTTTCCCCATACAAATGTTCACCATGTGTTTACCTTAACTCAACAATATTTACAGAGTTGGGCCAGCCAGATAGCTCAGCGGACTAAAGTACCTGCTTAAGCAGAGCACAGCAGCCTGGGTTTGATCCCCAGCATATTGTGCCAGCCCTGCCCTCAGGGCACACTGAGAGGGCAATTGAGACTGGGCATGGTGGCACAGCCGTAATCCCAGCACTTGGGAGGCTGAAAACAGAAGAAACACTATGATTCCAGTCTACATAGTGAGACTCTGTAAACCCTGTAGACCCTGTACCAAATACATTAAAAAAAATTTACAGAGCATTAGTAAGAGGTTGATGTTGAGGATAGAACAGTATAAAAAAGTCTCCACACATGGAATTTATATTCCCTTGGGAGAAAACTACATAAGACACCATCACATTGATAAGAAGAGGCACAGAAGGCATACAGAAATGGACAGCTAGTATGATATGAGATGACATCATTTTTAAAGGTCTGGGATTTTTAGGATTTAAATAGCTTTGTCATGGACCCATGGATTTCTTTATACTCAATTTTAGTGAATGTTAAAGGGCAGAAAAATTGAATTAACCTAGTTGTTCTATGACAATATAGTGAAATGTAAACACTGCTCAGTCATCACAGAACACTCTTCGTGTCCTTACCATTATCCATGCACCCAATGCCAACAATGCGAGTTCTAAAATTATTATCAGCATGTCCAGTCTGAAATTGAAAACCTAAAGCCTGAAAGCAAACTTGAAGAGAAGTAAAATGAGGTAGGCTTGTGCTCACCCTGCTTGCTCAGAGCCTCTTTCTTCTTGCCAATGTTGCCCTCCTTTGGCTGCTACAGATACCAGCGGAGCTACAGCTACCAGGAAGTCAGCCGCACTTTATGTCCTTCAAAAGCAACCAATGAAACAGGACCTTTGGAGCAACTGATATTTGTGGACGTGGCATCCATGGCACCCCAGGGTGCCCCCTACAAACTGCTGGTCACCAAGATCAAGCACTTCCAGCTCCGGTAAGCAGAATGCATGTGGCCTTGCTCTGTTAGCTCGGTGTCTCTTCCCGTATGTGGGTGCTGCTATCAGCCTCTGTCCCTATACACCAGCACTCGGTGAGGGCCACGCCTGCTTAGCGTCGCACTTCAGCATCCTCAGAGCTGTGCTGCGCAGCAGGGCCTTAACCCATGCAAAAGGGGGGCAGCAGAGAACTGGGCCACTCTGCCTTGGGGAGTCTGCAAGTCGCACCTTTGGGCTACTAATCACCGCCACACTCCTAAAGGAAATTTTTGTTTTCATTTTAAGGAAATTTTTAAACTGTTTCATATCATAATTCCAGTTTAGGAATTTTGGTAGAAAGGTGTCTTTGTTCTTCTCTAGAGTCACCAAGATTATTTTTGTCCTTGTTTTTTTAAACATAAGGTAATCCACTGGAAGAAAAAATAAGCATTAATCTTGGACATGCTCTAAAGAAATGCTTACTTTCCCCAAGTAGAAAATAAACAGAACTTATTAGCTATCAGAAATGTAAATTTAAAGCATAAGGAAATTTCATTTCAACTCTTGAAATGCAAAAAAGGAGGTAAGATTGAAGAAACAGATAGGAAGGAAGGAGACAAGGAAAATTGTAATTTTTTTTTCTTTCTGTATTTAGGACAGGGTCTATAAGGTATCACTACGTAGATCAGACTTGTAGTGATCCTCCTCTTTTCAGCCTCCCAAGCACTAGGATTACAGGAGAGTACCACCACACCCAGTCTCCATCACCATTTCAGCGTGCCCTGCAGGTGAGGCCGGCACAGCATGCCAGACATCAAACCCTGGCCGCTGTGCTCTGCCTAAGCAGGTGCTTCAGTCTGCTAAGCTATCGGGCCAGCCCTTGGAAAATTATAATTTAAAAATCATTCTTTTTAAGAACCCTGCAACTTCAGGACACAAAGTTACACAGCTTTCTCCATGTCTGTACTCCTTAGACTGGGATTACAAACCTATGACCGCATATTATTTGTTTTTCTTTTAAGACAAAAGATGTTAGTGCATGAGAGTTTTTTCCCTAATCTAAAACCTCAGTGTTCAGGTTTAATGCAATGTTGACATTTCACAATAATATGTGGATTTGGGGCTGGGGCCTGGGCACTCCTCTCTGAAAGGTTCACCATCACTGAATGAGGCTCATTTATGCTTCTCCTTTTTCCAGCAAATCCCACCCAAAATCTTTAAAAATACTACAAGTCCATAAATTAACATAGTTGGTAAAGTAAAGGGCAGAAACCTAACCTTAAGATAAACAGATTCAAAGATTTCAAAGGATGTTTTTTAGGAAAACAAATCACTCACCTTAAAAATATATAGTAAAATCAACCTCCTACAAAATGAGCCATTCTCTTTCCACCTGAGTGTGGACCATTGCTTTTTTTCCATAAACCAAGCATAGACTTTATATTTATTCTCAAATTTCACAGATTTCCACTGCCAAAGACATCAATATTCCCAGCTCCAGACTATAAACTCTTCTCTCCTGTTTGAGGGCTCACAGTCTATTTCTTTGAGGGTGTACTTTTAATATTCTGCCTAATAAATCCTCTGTGCCTCTTAAACACACACACACAGACACACACACACACACACACACACACAACCAAAACGCTATATGTACTTTGAAAGGCCTCACAATGTAGTGCCAGCCCCAATTGTGATATTCATTCAATGGGATTGCAAGCAAGAATAAAAATGAACAAACTATTGCTGTCCTTAACGAGGGTAAAGCTCACAGTGTTGAGCAAAAGTAACCAGTGAAAAAGAATAAGAGCTATTTAATTTCATTTGTATAAAGTTTATTAAAAGCAAAGCTATTCCACAGTATTAAAATAAAGTGGTTGTATCTGTTAGAAATGAGAAGTACATTGTTCTGTTTCCTCATAAAAACTTACTCCAATAAATGTTTACAACTTGTGTGCTTATCTACATGTTTATTATATTTAAATAAAGTTAATTGAAAAATCAGAATGTTTAAAATAATATGTGGTTCCTTGTTTTCAGCTTATTTTTCTGATCAGTATGTTCTATTCTGTTATAAGCCCCTCTTTAAATTTCCTAAGGCAGTTTATAAAGAGGTCTATAACCAGTGGTGTTGCTAAGAGGAATCAAATATTTACCTTGGTCTTCTCTACACCTTTTGACTTGATAGACACCCTCAGAAACAAATGGGTAAGTGGTTGCATGAATGCTCAGAAAGATGGAGAAGTAGTCACAGCCATGAGTTCCAAGTCCTTCCTTATAATTCTGGGGCCATGAACACTTCCTTCCCTCTTCTCCATCCAAAAACAATAAAAAATGTATTCTTTGGTAGATAAGATCCACCCCAGGTCAATTAAATCAAGATCTCAAGGGGAGATTTCAGTACTGTATAATTTTAAATTCCCAGTATGATTCTAACATTTAGCCAGAGTTAAATATCACCCTCTTAAAGCCAGCTGAAAGCATGAAGATTAAGTTTAATTTATTATTTAAAAATATATTTATCATACTAAATCATATGAGAATCCATGGTTATATGTGACGGGGGTTGTGTCATATTATTTGAACAGTTTGAACTTCAGAGAAGCATTTACTTTACTAATTAGTCCCCTTATCTTTAAACTTTCCCTCTCACCTGGTCTCAGGGTACTGGAATTGTAGGGTTAGATTTTTAAGAGATAATTACATCCTTTGGAGAGCAGAATTCTGTGAAATTATAGTCATAAGGTTACAAATCTGTACAAGTGTTAATAAATGATCTTCATCCATGCTGGTGAAACTGCAAATCTATTCTGTCACATTGTTTTCTGTTTCTACCTCTTTTCATATGACATTTCAAAATGCGCACAGTGACTAGGGCTTTCAGGCAACCAAGCTATACCTCAGAAACAACCGTAACTGAAACGCACACATCTCTTTCTCCTTCCTTTGCTCGCTCCTGCTTTCCACCCATTTCCAGGTTTGAAGCCCTAGAAATCCAGAGGACAATGATCACAGAGCAGAGCTGAGGATTGTGAGAGAGAATTGGTCTCCAGGTATTAAGAGAAACACTGAAGAATTAACTCAAAATCCATAACATTTCATTTTCCACCAAATGTTTTCAAGTGGCAGACTAGAATACATGTGGAACACATTCTGGAATTCTTTTTTTTTTTTTTTCCTAAAATCAAACATTTTTTTTTTTTTTTTTTTCCTAAAATCAAACATTTTAAGAATTGCAGGACTTTGGGGAATCTAATCCACTTACCTCATTTTTACAGAGGGGCCAGCTGATGCTGAGAGACCCTAAGCGACTTGTCCTCACTCTTACAGTTAGGAAAGGGCATGTCAAGATAAGTTCATGCTCTGTTCCCAGCTCTTCTTGCCATAGTGTCTATTTCTACTTTCTGTTTAACACTGTCCTTGCTATTTTTATGCTCCCCTAAATATGTTTCTCAATCCCAGAAAGCACTTATTTATATAACTACAGCTTTAAAAATAAAACAACTCTGCCTTAGAAGAGCACTCCTTGCCATCTACCTACCCACCCCTCCACACATGGGAACAGCTCCGCCACTACCTGTTGCCAGGAAGTCTGCTCAGAGCAGCAAGAATGTGCATTTTTCAGGCAGGGACAGCAGGAGCACAGGACAGTTGGAGCAGGAGCACCTGATCACAGGGTGGGAGAAACGCAGAAGAGCTATTCAGAAATTTACAGTTGTCTACATTGTGATAGAGAATGGACTTGAAGGGCATGAGCAGGATGCACAGGAGTTTGAAGGTTGATGCAGTGGCCAAAATAAATAAGTGAGAAGGTGATCTGAAGAACTTAGAAGGTGAAATTGACAACGTGACCAGATATGAGGGGAAAAAAAGCAGGAGAATCTCGAATGACCTGTGACTTCTAGAGGGTGGTGTCACTAGGAGAAAATGAACATTTTGGTGAGGGCAGGAAGAAGTGATACTATCACCTTTGGAGATGCTGAGCTTGGAGTACAGAAGTTAGCAAAATGCTGTGTACATGCCAATGAGGTGGTCAAGGATGAGCTGAGTTCCTGAGTACATAGAAACACTGCAGGAAGGCTATTCCACTGGACCTGGGAGCAGTTAAGGTGATAGACTGGAGAGAAGCAGGCTGTACCCAACCATGACCATGATCTGTACTAATGTTTGTTGTTTGTTTGTTTGTTTTTTTAAATTTTGTCTTTTTGAGCCAGGGCTTCACTATGCAGTTCATCCTGGCCTTGAATTCACTGTGTAGCCCAGACTGACCTCAAACTCATGGTGATTCTCTGTTTCTGTTACTTTGCTCTCATTGCTGGGACAAATACCTGACACCCAAAATGAAGGAAGGAAAAGTTTATTTAGCTCACAATTTGTGGAGGTTTCAGTCCATTCTTGGCTAGCTGTTCAGAGGGCACGTGGCAGAGGGCAGCTGTTCATGGTGGTGGAAAACAGCAAAGAGCAAAAGGGAAGAGCAGTGGCAACAAGGGCAGAGGCAGAGGCAGACATCAAGCCTCTCTCTCTAACTTAAATTGCATTCAGGCCATCTGCCCCAGGCTGGTTGTAACACTCACACTTACACTCCCAGCATTAAGTCATGAATCAGTCACAAACTCTAGACGCCTGCCCCACTGACTACATGAGACTTTGGGAAGACACCTAGATACAAACCTTAACATCCTCCCACCTCAGCCTCCCGTGAGCTGGGATTAAGGTTACATCACCACACCCGGCCTGGTCTGTATAATACTGGATGCTGAACCAGAGAGTTGGAATTCTACCTTGCATGTTACGGGAGCCTCTAAAGTATTTTCCACAGCAGAATAAAATGAACAGATCAGATTTTTAGAGATCACTGTAGTGAGTGTGGAAGATGATTTGGAGTAGAGGCAAGAGCAAAGGCATTTGGACAAATAAAAAGTTACTTGAGTAGAGAAAAAAAATTAAGCGACCAGAACCTGAATATTATGAAAGCAACAAAGTTGTAAGGAAGAAAAGAGTTAATATACCTGAGTATAATTTACAAATTCAACAAATAGTGTGGCAGAATAAGAAATGTGGTTGTGTCAGTACTTGCAGGTTTTGATCTTCTTCTGTCCTTCTAAGTAGTGATCTTGAGACTTTTTGTTTTCATTTTTTTAAGCAGAGAAAATATGCAATGAGATAGCTCAGCTACCATACCATGAAAAGTAGAGTTTTTGAAGCAATAAATAGAAATGTTTAGCTTCCTTTTATACTGACAGAATGAGAAGGACCTGGAGATCAATCACGCAGGGAAGGTGGTTGAAAGGGAGAGTCTGAAATGACTCCCGCAGCAATGCAGGGAGACTGGTGAGGATCACTGGAAGGAGATTTAATGGATCAGGATTAGGAAACAGCAGCACATTCCGCTGTGAGCACGCAGAGCTTGTGGGATGTGCGAGATGGTCAAGTGCAGAAGCCCAGGACAAGGTTGCTCTTCTGTCACTGGAGCCCAAGGGATGGCCCTCAGCTGGACCCAGAGATTCAAGGGTCACCTACCGTTGTGTTGTATTTATGGCAAATGAATTTAGATGCATTTGGGCATGCATGTGACTAATGAAAATGAGAAGACTGAGACTAGCGTTGTGGGTAACATTCTCATTTAAGGGATGGTCTGAGAAACAAAAGCTACCAAGCTACCACTCTACCTCTAGTGCCTGTCATCTCCCTTGTCTCCCTCTCTCATCTCCATTTCTCTTTCCTTCTCTTTCTTTTGTAAATTGCCAAAACAAGGAAACAAACTTGGACATTAGTCTCTTATATTTACTGAACAAATGTTTGTTTCCTGGGTTTAATTTTTAAAACAAATGAATTTAAAATGTGATGCTTCTTTCTCTAAAACTAAAAGTACCTATGAGTTTCAATTACTTTTTCTGTCGGTAATGGCCCTTGATAAAATAAATACCCTTGCCTCTGTTAGGGGTTGTGCAAGAAGCAGCAGATTATTTCATTCCCAACAGACACAATGCTTATTTTCCACAGTGTTGACTTCAAGAGAAAGAAAATACTTGAAGTCCCTATGTACACTCAAAGTTTCTATGCATCATTTTAGCAAATAAAACATTAAGAACAAGAAAAACCCAGGAAGTATATATTAATATCCATAAATTCAATATTACAGTTGAAATTCAAATAATGGGGACTAGTCATAAAAAATATCAAGTTTATAGCCAAAGTACACAAGTTGCTTCAGGAAGTCTCATACTCCCAGGTGCTAGCCAAGAAAAGCGTGTCTTCTTTGTTCCACTGACCCGGCAACGAGAGAGTAGCCCTGGTCGCAGCAGGTGATACGCTACTCAGCAGACTGTGGAAAACACTCCTAGACCACACAGAGTGGTGGGTTCTGATCCTGGCCACAAACTCTCTGGAGAAGATACACAGCTAGGTTTGGCATTGATTTGGTTTCTTTAGCTCACCTAGTGCCAGAAGTTTTCACCTATGCATCAGCAGAACAAATCCTGCAAAATCCAGGAAAACATGGATGATGATTTCTGTTGAAAGTGAATACATAAAAAATGGCATCCATTGGTGGAAACTGAATTCTGAGCCCACTTCAACATCAGCCTAGACCGTCACCATTACTTTCATAAACAGTGCTCACATTTTGTGGCTTCTAAATAACACCTCTAATTACACATGTCTTGCTTGATTGTCCTAATACACCCTTTTAAACAGGTATCTTTAATTTTTTAGAAAAACAATTATTTATTGTAAAAGGAACATTGGAATAGAAAGTCTTCAGAGAGCACTAGGGGAAGAAAATGGAGAGGAATCTCAGAAGTTCAGATTCAGATTCCCCAAAATGCAGGCAGGGATGCACATTGGAGTGGGGGGAAGCCACCCCAGAGATGGTGCTTCAGGGGACTTGTGAGACAGAAGCCTTGTGTGAGGGGCAATCTACAAGGCTAAAGGTGTGGCAAGACCCAGAAAAAGCCAAAACCAAAGAGCAGACCTTACAAAGCTACAGACAAGTTTGAGCTTCTGTTTTCCAGTCTCCTGAGCTGTGTCACAGATGTTCATTCCAGACAGACCAAGCTCCCAGGTCCTGCTTCTTACGCACTTTTCGCCCCCTCCCTCCTCAAGCCTGGGTTGTTGCTGTCTTAAGTACCCAACACAATAATTCTCATTAAGTTACAATCTGGAGAGCAAATAACTTCATATTTTTATAGTGTTTATACTTTAAAGATGAACATTAGAAGGCAGTGGCTAAGCTGGAGAGGAGATGAATTGTAGTGGGTGCAGCATGCAATTGGCTAAATGCTTACGGGCAGGAAGAACCTATTTCTGTTGCTACAGAATGGCCCATAGTGGTTGCCTATTGCTCTGCTAAAAAAAAAAAAAAATTCTTCTGCCATGTTATCAATCAAAATTATTTAAGTTCTTGACATTGTCTTGCACTACATTGTAAAGTCTTTTTAGGCATGTGTTAGATTTCTGTGAAATTTTTCTTTAAATGTAAACGTCATACTACACTGTCAGTTTTTGTCATAATAAAAGTATAGATTTATAAAAAAAATCAAAATTATTTAGAAGTGGTACCTACATTATCTAAAACAACCCCAAAACTCACATTTTCTTTTTCCTCCCACTTCTGATACCTGTCCCCTGTGCTTGACTGTGGGATCTTAAGAGGGTTCTAAGGTGAAGTGTCCATAAAAGTAAACAAAGTGCTTACTCATGTAGCAGTGACTTCATAAATATTGAAAGGTGAAAAAACCATCTCTTTTCCCAATTGGATCATTGTTCAGGGTTGACATTTGCGAGTCCCCATGGAGTTTTATCAATTTGATAGGATCAAATTCCCTTCACAAAGGGCAAATCTCTCTTCCTGGCATCTAATTTAAGGTGGTTTTCTCATAAAGAAGTTTCCACTTGCTAACTTATGCTTTTTTATTCATTTTTTCTCTTTTCCCTTCTCCTGCTTACATTTCTCAGGACAAATATTGCCTCTCACTTTACTGCCAGCCCCTCTCAGCCTCAGGTAGGTGAAGAGTTCCAAGGTTATCAGGAGCACTTATCTTGATATTGTTCCCAGAAACCGTGGGATCAAGAGAGTGGACATGTGCTGTTGTCCTTGTCCCTCTCTGGATGGTTATTCGTGTCACTGGGATTTTCAACACAACATTTAATCTTGTAAATTTTGTTGACATGAAATGGAAGAAATAGTATTTGCTTTCTGGTGTTTTTTGGTTCAAAGAAACACCAGAAAATTGTGGTCTACTATGTCCCAAGTACAGTGTTGGACTGTCTAAGGTGCTAGGAACACAGGATGAAGACAAGGCACAGCCTCTGTCACCGTTGACCTGATAGGATGGGGGTGGGGGAAAGAGAGAGTGGACAGCAGATGCCAAACAGATATACAAATAATTGACCTGAAAATATAATAAAAATAAGATAGATTTTAATTCCTACAGTGTTATTGATGGATTCAATTAGTTTTTCCCATTTTAAAGAAAGAGCAGGAAAGCTGACAGCATTAGAATGAGCTATTTTTGTGTGCTTTTCATTAAACCATATTCATAAACAGAATAAATATACAATAACAATGTTGATTACTTTAGACTGTTTCTCTGGTGACATTCTAGTTACCTTTATTTTTTTTTTCTCCATAGCTTTTGAAAGAAAAGGGTCTTTACAATAGCAAGCTTAAAATAGGGTTTTAAAAAAATATTTTATTTATTTATTTATTTATTTATTTATTTGGTACAGGGTCTTGCTAAGCAGCTCAGACTCGTAGTGATCCTTTTGTCTCAGCCTCCCCAGCACTGGGGTAACAGGGGTGCACCACCACTCCTGGTTTTGGTGGCTGGCAGAATGTGCCTGCGTTCTGGGGCCAGCACAGCATGTGGTACTGGGGATTGAACCAAGGTCCTTGCTGTTGCCAGGCAAACGCTAGACCACTGAGCTATCTCCCCAGCCCTTAAAGTAGGTTTTTTTTTTAAAAAAATAGTATAAATCATCTGTAGACTATAAAACAACTTTAGTAATAATGATCACCTTATTTTTTTGTTTTGGATATATTAAAACGTATTAAAATATTACTAATTAAGCTAGGCATGGTGACACACACATATAATCCCAACACTTAGGAAGCTGAGGCAAGACAATCACCATGGGTTCAAGATCAGTCTTGTCTATATAGTAAACTCAAGGTCAGCCTGAACTGCATAGCGAGATTTGGCTCAACATACAAAAAAAAAAAAAAAAAAAATGGTTGTAAACCTTTAAGTTACTGGCATGTAGGCAAATACTTAAATGCATCTCAGAAAGTAAGCCTAGTTGGAGTGTCTCCCCATTCCTGAGGTGTAAATACTTCCACCATGGCTGATTTAAGCTGCTAATGTGATGTCATTTGACAGAGTTGGGAAGTGACAGGCAAACCGGCTCCTCCAAGCCCATATGAACCAATTCCCACACATCCTTTGAGTTCAGTGCCTCTTGGCCACGTAGCTACTATAGGGCATATATACTGCCACCCTGTGCAGAAGCGGGTAGCAGGTCAGAATCTGTTGCTTTTAATATGTATTAATTATTTGAATTAATATTAGAAACCACTAGTTGTTAGGTACAATGGGAAATGTCTAGAAAAAGGGGAAATACCTTGTGCTCTGACTTCTGGAAAATGTCCTGTGTAGGGCTGTAATACATATATAGTATATGTTGTATGCACCATGCCGTGTAGTAGAAGTGCTGCTTGTTGGAAAATTAGTAATAATTGCATGCTATGGTTTCTTTTTATTGTGAAAATATTTAAATATTAAAGCATAAACAACCCCAAACTAGAATGAAACATAATTAGAGCAAACCAATGTACAAAACACAAAGTCTTTGATAGCTATAAAAATCTTACTCATTTTGAACTGTTCCCATTTGGCCTGCATATTATATCTTTTCTGATTACAGGAAAACTACTGTGTACCTATAAACTCTCTTGAATGAGTGCATATTCTCAGGTAACCTGCATCAATCACTGTCTGCCTCTACTCCTGTGGATGGAAGCAGGCTGCAGAACTGACTTGTTACAGAGCAGGCAGTCAGGATCCATATGGTGATTTTTAGCCTGAACTCCAGTCATTGCTTTAGATTGTTTCTTGCTTCTTCTTGGTAAAAGCAATTTGGGAGGGGGCTGGTGCCAGGGATCAAACTTAGGACCTTGCACTTGCTGCTGAGCTATATGTCTGGCAAGTGGATTATTAATAACAGGTTTTTAAAAATTGATTAGAGATTTATGGTAATGTAGACATAAACAAGGTTAATTATACTTTTGTCCTATTAATAAGGATTTAGTATGTGTCAACTGCTTGTACAAAGCCATTTACTATCATTCTTTATATGTATATATAATGCATATATAATGTAATGTAATATATGTTATATATATTATATGCTATCATTGCTAAAAGTAATCACAGCAATATTCTTGAATGGCAAAGTATGGTTCCCCTGAGAACCAGGGACAGCTCTTGGGAATTCTGATTTTTTTTTTTTTTTTTTTTCCTGGCTCAAGGTGCCTTAAAGGTGGGTCCAGTAATACAGGTGGAGATGGGGATCAAACTGCGGTATCCTGCCCTGACTGCATTTGCATGAGCAGGTGCTTAAACAACTGAGCTAACCAGCAGGCCCCTCTTGGGAATTCTAGATTCCTCACTTTTTAAAGAGCCTTGTATTATAAGTATCTGAATCTGGCTCTAAAGTAAAGTAGGTTCTTAGGGGTGTTGCCATCTTGTCACATGGCAGGAATAGACTTCTGAACAACAGCTTGAGGTGAATCTTGAGATGATTTTTTTCCTATCAAAAACCTTTAGGTTATTGAAAAAATGTTCTATTTTTATTAACCTAGTTCTCAAAACAGGATTAGTAAAGGAGATGTTAGAATACAAACTTAAATTTTAATGTGTTTGCCTGTCTTCTAAAGTGATAGATGTATTAGGGTCCTAGGATATGAAACTTGTTATGTTTGGTTTTCTCAAAATCCTAATCATACATTTGGCATTGCTTCTCAACCAGTTATCATTATCGAGCACAATTCCACTTTCTTCATAATTAGTATACATGTTCAAAACTTAAAAGCCTGTACATTTTGCCAATAGATTAATCATCTAGCTAGGTAAATAGTATAATAACCTCTTCTTGTTAGAAATGTTTCCTCATTCTGATAATATTTTAAAAGTACCTTTAAAGAGTTTTTCAACCTTCCCAAAACTGTAAGCATATTTAAAGCTTTGAATTTGAACATCTTTTGAATATATTCCAACCAGGAAATATCTCCTCTAGCAAAAGGTCTAGGGGATGAACTGGTCTGGTCCTAATTGTTGTCTGTGGGAAGGTGGCCAAAACTCTTGAAGAACAGGCCTTTCTGCTTTTTTTTTTTTTTTAAGGTAGAGCTTCATATTTCACAATGACCACACAGAAAACGTATGGTCTTGTTCTACATCTCACGTGTCCCTAAGTCAAAGGCAGGGAGGAGGTCTTCCTTAGGAGGAAAAGGAAAGAAATATAGTAAAGTTTCCCTTTAAAAAAAGACATTGTGTGCCATAAAGTGGCTATATTGTTTTGCTTATTGTCTCCCGAATGTCGTCCAGAGTCCTGGGGCAGGGCAGTTAGTTGCCCAGTATGCATGAGATGAATGGCAGGCTGAAATAACTGAGATTTGTATCTGAACTTTGTGTCTAATAGTAGAGAAAGCAATCCTATTCATGTAAAAATAGTTTGAGTTCATAATCCATAAACATTTCTTATGATTAAAAAAATTATGTCTCTTTTGTTTATTCTCAGTTTTTTCTGTACAAATTTCCCAAAGATGTGGATTCGGTTATCATTAAAGTGGTGTCTGAAGTGGCTTATCCGTGCTCTGTTGTTTCCGTGCAGAACATCATGGTGAGTGCTGAGACTTCACCCTTCTAATGTGAAGTAGCGTCTTTTTTTTTTTTTTAATTTTTTTTTTATGTGTGTGTGTGTGTGTGTGTGGCCAGCTCAGCCCACCAGGGGGCGCGGCTGGCTTGTATGTGGTGCTGGGGGATTGAACCGTGGTCCCTTTGCTTTGCTAAGCTTGTTCAAATAGGTGCTTTAGACCACTGACCCATCTCACCAGCCCCTGTGAAGTAGTGTCTTATCCAAGAGTAAATGAAGGGGAAGAGTGTGTCCTTTTACCGTGTGTCTCCCCCAAATACTACATAGTAGCAACAGTATCCTGTGCACCTGAGTGGACAGTGCATGTTTGCAGACTGATTTAGAGAGACAAAGAATAGTTGACCCCTTAGCAAAATAAAGGAAAGAAGGAAGAAAGGAAGGAGAGGGGATGGATCATAATGAAGAGCAAAGAAGACCACGTTGTGAGTTCCACAGGAAAAAAGAAACTGACTGTTCATTGTGTTTTAAATTTTCTGTTGTGACACTGGGTTCTTTCTGTCTTGCTAAGTGTTAGCAACAAATGGGAGAGCTGTTATACCCTTAAAGGCCATCTTTTCATAGTTCGCTATAGTGTAGAGTGACTTTGACTTCAGAGGACAAGGCACCAAGTTCTAGTGGGACTATTTCGTGAGTGCTCTGGGTTGAGGGGACTTTTCATGGCTTCTGGTTCAGCAACACCTCCCCTGCTCTGGGATCTAAGATCTAGGTGGATAGGCCCAGGCAGAACCTGCACTTCATGTAGCATTAATGATGCCTCCCTTTTTCTCCTTCATACATGCTGCAGTGTCCAGTGTATGATCTTGACCACAATGTGGAATTTAATGGTGTCTACCAGTCCATGACCAAGAAAGCTGCCATCACTTTGCAGGTGAGACATTGATTTTCTGGTCACTACTGTCAGTGACATTGCTCAGTGGATAGTCAGCTTACCTACTGGACCAGCATCCAGAAGAGATGGTCAACTACTGTGTACCTTGATTCTTTTTGCATTGTGATAGTTAAAAATTAAGATTTTAGGACCTGAAATCAAAGCATGGGTGACAGAGAACAATGCTGTTCTCCCAAATACTCTTTTCCCCATGGAGATTCTTGGAAACACATGAGAAAGTGGGACATATATTTGACAGTTTCCTAGAAAGATACAAGCAGAAGATTCTAATTGACTCAGTGGAGGGTGCCAATTTAGGTTGAAATTTATGAGATCTACTTCAAGCAGTTAAATGTATTTTAATAATTTAAACAAATGATGACTTCATGTGTGAATAGACTGACAAGTTCAGAGGGATATGGGTCATATTTTCATTAACTAGATTATAATTTTAATGGTAATTAAATAGCAAAAAATGTACATGCACTGTGTCAGCATATTTTCAGATGCTCTGTTCTTTAGGATAGTGCTTAAAAAAATAACTGTGTCTTCCTCTCTTCCTCACAGTAAGGTGCTATTACTCACTGGATAACAATAAAAGAATAAAAGAAGTTAATCATAATTTACACCTAAGTCAGACCTAAAAACTTCTAATAGTCAACTCAATTTCAAGGATCTCAGATTTGAGCAGATCCCAAACATCTGCTCTTGTTTTTAGTATTTATTTCTTCCTTAACATCTCAGCATTATGAGGTCCCCAATAAAATAGAGTAGGAAAGTAATTGTAATAGTGAACTTCAGACTTTACATCACCAGGACACTGCATTAATGAAGGGCAAAGAGAATCAGTGTGGGTCTACTTTGGATGTATTCAGCACTGAATTCTTCCTTTTCTTTTGGGCCCATGTTTAAGCCTTGGGCCATTTTCTCTGTGGGCTAACCATATCATAAATTTTGGAATAATTTTTTTAAAGCCAGGATTGGAGAACTACAATGTACCTTAATGGCTATCTTGTCAACCATGCTCCATTCACGGACAAAGAAACTAGGATACAGAAAAACTATAGAAAAGCAAAGGCAGGGCCATAACTCAGGTCTCCTGGCTTATATCCTTGGCCTCCCTAACTGCATTATTTACCTAACTGTTCCTTTTAAGGAACTGTGTTCCTTTTAAGAAAGTTATTCATCATTATGTTTTTTAAAATAATATATATATATATATTCATTATTAAACATAGGCTGTTGACATTACTCTTTAAAGTAGCACCTGTTAGAGTTCTAACTACTCATGAGAAGAGACAATAGATTGAAATCATAACAGTGTATCTGTTTAACTTCTTGGGTGTAACAATTATTGTGGGCAATTTGGAATAGATTATGAATATGTGACAATCCTTTTTAAGATGTTAGAGGGCCAGGGTAAGCTCTACTTTTCTTTCTTTTCTTTGTCTCTTCTGCTATCTTTCTTACCTGCCCATCACAAGGTTGTTATGTCTCACACAGAAGAAGGATTTTCCTGGCGAGCAGTTCTTCGTGGTGTTTGTGATAAAACCTGAAGATTATGCCTGTGGAGGATCATTCTTCATCCAGGGTAAGAGGCAAGGAAGGGTATGTGGAAGGGAAGCCAAACACGTGTCTCTAGTTCCCATTAAGGGTCCATGTAACATGGCAAGGTAGTCTGAAAGACACTTAACAAAAAAATGAAAGGTAGAAAATATTAGGTCTAAAGATATTGTTCATACTACAAAATGATAGTATGGTTCAACGTTTTTGAAGCCTTATAGTCCCTTATACTACAGAAAGTAAATTCACCTAATTTGCTCTTAACAAATGCTTGCTGCTGAGAAGTAAAGATCTCATTCAGTGAGTCAATGTTCATTTTCTAAGTTCAGTTTCCTAAGATAAAGCCATTTATTAATTAGGAGCCATTATTCCCACAAGCATGTACAAGGAAACTTTAGAGTTCATCATTCTAATTGCCAAAATGATACCTCATGAGACTAAGAAAGCCAGGTGGAATGATTTATCCGGATGGGAAGGATTATGTAAGTCACAGGGATTGTACAGATAGCTACAGAAGACCATGCAGTGCTACTTTGGGAGTAGAACAAACTTCCAGTGGAAACATAGACCACTTGTGGAAGATGCATGTGTCAACTTCACAGAGGGCGTTTAGTTTGCGTGCAACACCCTTGTTGTGTAGGTGGAATTTCTGCTAGTGTGTGCTTTAATCTCTTAAGTATTTAACGCTGGGGCTTTTCCAATGTCCAATGTACTACAAGCCCTTTCATCTATATGTGAAGGATAAACAAATTACTACTGGCTAGAAAAAATTAGAACTAAAGGAAAATGCTGCTTTTATCGTTGTGTCTGTTTCTTCAGATGTCTATAGGTCACAGAATGTCCTCATCTCAGTGGAGAAGGGAGGCTGCAGTCTCATTTCACTTGTACTTGAACTACCAAAGTGCACCCAAGTAAAAGCCAAAATGAGAATCTTAATTAATGGGAGACTGTAGACATGGGAGGCTTGGTAGGGGAGATTTTTCTTCCCATTCTTGTTAAAATAAAATTCAGCAACCAGAATAATTGTGGACATTTTTGAACAACTGTTAACCAGAAAATAAGAATCTAGTGTCTGATCCAATGTGCCTTGCACCTTGAGTTTTGTTGTCGCTGTTGTTTTGATTTTTACCAGAAAATGAAAATCAGACCTGGAATCTACAACGAGCAAAGAACCTTCAAGTGACCATTGTTCCTTCCATTAAAGGTCAGTGTTGCCTGTAGAGATTCCTGTGTCAGGAAAAGTCTTATATAATGCATCAGTAATGTTCTCAAAGAGGGCAACATGAGAAAACAAAAAATTATTTACCTATAAGACAGAATCTTTTGTTGAATACCTCCCCAAAGAGAAGGGAACTCAGTTCACATTTATGTACAGCAGACCCTTCCTAGCCTCCACTGGAGAATCATTGCTGTGAAAGGCAGCTACTTAAAGATTGTGTCTGGGTGACCTCTCATAGCTTTGCTGCTCTGAATGAAAATTTACTGGGACTTATGATGGGTGTGATGTCCATGTTTATAGCAGCACAACTCGCAGTAGCTAGATCTTGGAAACAACCCAACTGCTCATCAACCAAGGAATGGATTAAATAAAAAAGTGGTCTTTTTATGCAATAGATTACTACTCAGCCATGAAGAAGGATAAACTAGAGACTTTTATAGATAAATGGATACAACTTGAGATCACACTCATAGGTGAAATAAATCAGACCACATATTAAACATAGTATTGCCTCCCTAGTGTGAGAAGCTGAAAGAGTACATAAGGTCCAAAATGTACAAGAGTTATTGTAAAATGGCAAGAAACTTCAAAAGGAAAGAGAAACTGGGATGGGGAAATGGAGAAGAAAGGAAAGGAAAAGCATATTTACATGATAATTAAGATAGTTATGCTACTAATTTCTCTTAGTTCATTGAAAAAGATTTGTGTTGTTTGGACAATTAAATGTCGATATCTTGTACTCTGAGCAATTAATTTAAAGATAATAATATGCATTATATTAACTATTGCTACTCTCTTATTATCTTGTTTTGAAATTGTTTTCTCTTGAAAATAAAAAACAGAATGAGTGTGATGGAGGTGAGCTGTTTCATCTGTCCTATCCCAAGCAAAATCCTCTTTGTCTGAGGAGAGCCTGATCTAAGTTGTTTCTCTCTCTTCAGGATCTGTATACGTGAAATCCAGTCTTTTCAGTGTCTTCATCTTCTTGTCCTTCTACGTGGGATGCCTGCTTGTTGTGTTTGTTCATTATGTGAGGTAGGTCAACAGTCTTGAGAACTGTGAACCCCTTGTCTCACTCTGTAATGGTAATAGCATAGGCTTTCCAACTATTTTGGCCCTACTTCAAGGTAACTCTGTACCACATCTGTAGTACCTCTTCAAGGCGAACTACACAGCCTTCTGTGCTTCAGACTTCTCCTCTATAATCTATATCATAGAATAATATAACTTACAGTGTTTATGTAAATATCATGGCCATGACAAGTGCTGATATGGTGTTTATTATTTTCATAGTCAATGAAAATTCAACAAAAAGGCAACTTGTATAATTTTCAGACCAGGAAATACTCACTGTAAATCCTACAGACTATAGGAGATGATAATTCTTTTACATACGGAGATTTAGGAGCAGCTTTTAACATTCTGTCAAAAAATTAAATTTAATGCCTAAAATAAATCTTGAGGTACAATAAACAGCAGCATAATGTGCTTTGATATCACATTACTGGGTGATTTTCTACTTTTGTAGCATCAGTTTTCCACTAAAACGCTCTGGGTAGGGGGAATGAAGAAACTTGTGCTGTGATTTATTCAAGGAAATTTATTGTCCCAAGATTTTGGAGCCCCTAACAAAACAGTCTGTCCCTCTACAGGGCTGACCTTTTTTTTTTTTTAGGGCTGACCTTTGAGAATTCCATTCTTTGTTTTTCTTTCTGTGAGCTACAAAAGAATGGCAGGAGATTTGCAATAAACAAATGTTCTTTCTTCTCTTGAACATATTAAGAAAACAAAGCCAGCATCTATAAAAAGATCCCTCTACCACTTCAGTGATACTGTGAGCTCTGTGGTACAGATCTACTGCTGGTTCAAAAGACAACTTCCTTCTGCGACCTATGTGAAGTTTTTGAATTGAAATAACTCTCTTCAAACATTTCACAGCTACCCCTAGCCAAATCTGGGAGAATTTTAGGACCAAAACCATTAAGAATAATGAGTTAGTGGTAATAAAATAGAAACCCCTGATACACAGCTATGTATCTAGTAAATTCAACAAAATTTGAATTAAAACAGGTACCCATTAGAGAAGGATGCCACTAGCAAAGACCGACAATAAAAGGACTCTCCCATAGCAGAAGACCCAGAGCTGACTGATACATTCATGGGGAATGCTGCAGTTGGAAAATCATTTTTGCAGATATCATAGTAAAGACTGGATCAGGTTAGGAATCATCAATGGCAGCTAAGTCAGGAGAAGGAGTAATCAGGATGTCTGTGTGGCCTTAAAGTACATCTTCACAAATTGCTTAGTAGTTGTAAAAGAAAACAGTAATAATTGTATTAGTAAGCTCTCCACTGCTGAGTAGAAATACCTCATACTCACAACCTAAAGAGTAAGCTTTATCTAGCTCCTGGTTTCAGAGGATCCAGTCAGTGACAGGCTGGCCTCATGGCAGGAGCATCATGGGAGAAGGCTATGGCAGAGGAAAGCTGCTCTGTTTACAGCAACCCGGAAGCAGAGCAGGGATGGTACCAGAGAGGAAGGACTGAAGAAGCAGAGGTAGGCTGCTAGGTCACACCTGACCATTCAGACTACTCCATAAGTGAGCTTTGCTAATTGCCTGGGGAAGAGGGGCTCACAGGTCATTGAAGATGACAATCTCCTTGAACTGTCACGAACCTGTATAGTAAAGAAATTGAACACATTGACTGAGTGATTAACATTAGTACCATCAAAGGGAAGGTGAACACTGCGAGACACCTTAAGAAAGACACAGAGTTATTTATGCAGCATTCTAGAAATGCATTATTTTAATAATTTTTCTTTTTTTTTTTTTTTGGTGGAACCGGGGATTGAACTCAGACCCTTGCGCTTGCCAAGGAAGCACTTATTCTACTGAGCCATCTCCCCAGCCCCCTTTAATCATGTTTTGAGGCACAAGAGGTACCATAAAAGACACAGAAATTATATTTAAGTGTTCTAGGTTAAAAAGCTCTAAGGACATATGATGACTAAAGATGATACCTGATCTCAGATTGACTCTCAGACTAGAAGAAAAACATGCTATAGAGGATATTATTTGACCAATTGACAAATTGAAATATATAGAGTATATTTGATAAGGGTGTCATTCTATTGTTAAATTGCTAAATTTGATACCTGTAGTTATGTAAAGGACTATCTCTACTTTCAGAATATTTAGGTATAAAAGTCTACAACATATTTGTAGCTACATAAAGTGTATGTGGAAAAAGATTGATAAAAGTAGATGAGAAAATAGAGTAACAATAAGTGAATCCAAATAAAGGATATATGAATGCTCTATGTTCTTATTCTCAAAGCTTCTTTGTATATTTGAAATTCTTTTAAAATAAAGAGTTAACAACAGCCAAGTATGGTGTCTCACACCTGTAACCCAGCACTCCAGAGACAAAAGGAAGAGAACTGTGGGTTCTGTGTATCCACTACACAGTGAAATCATGGGTTATTCACTCAATTACTTTTTTTT